CAACAAGTCAACGGCGCCAGGGGATGTACAAGGGGGTTGACGTCTAGCCAATTCGGATGTTTGTTCTTTTAGCGGAATAGGTCCACGTTTACCACCACTCGTGTCGTATTTTTCGCAGAAACGTCGTGGTTTATGCTCCAACACGCGGTATGCTAATCGCCTAACACGAGCCACGATCGCGTTACATCATGGCCGGTCCATTCGCAACAGGAAAATAGTACCGAGTCCTCGATGAACTCGGATTCATTGATCTCTCTCGTGCATCTGTCTCGAGAGAGACTTGGGTTCGCATCTGAGCGAAGAAATCTCTGGAAATCCAGATCTCCAGCCAGAGCAACAAATCAAGCTCTGTCCTACGACCTAGAGCAACGACACGCACCAGTCAACCTTCGCTCGGGTTGTTAAAATGCGCGAGCACACTCTGGTCCGTTGTGTCGTGGGATCGGTGAATGGATTTTCTGTCCTGGCCAAAGGGGGATGATGAATCGCGCGTGTACCAGCCCCCTTGTCTTTTCGTCGAACACGAGGGCGTTCTCAGGGCGAACGGGGACGCAAGGCGGGGGTGTAACGGCCAGGAAAAAGCGCGCAGGGGATGGTTATGCGTCGTATCCGGCGACGAAAATGTAGGTGAGCCGATGTTAAGCCGTGGCAGAGTTGCAGGCTCGCGCACCCTCGAAAACGCATTGAGACGGTCACGAACGACAAGGACCAGCCGTGTCTCCAGTGTCCCCGCGTGTATACGAGCCCTCTCCGTGCTCGCCATCGTGATCGTTCGACGATGCTAATTCACGGTCTGACCCAGTATCGTGCCGCTGGATACGCTCCAGGAACGAAAACGAATCGATTCGCTGGGATTCCCTGTTCAAAGGACGTTGGAATTCATTAATTTCGATGGTCGCTAGGTCGACGGTCGCATTGAGGTGTCACGATCCACGCATTCCTGTTTCCTCAGATCTCGGCCCGTGATAGCTCTTTGAAAATTCGACGTCGTGATTTTGGGGTTGTTTGTTCGTAAAGACGTTAGGGGAGACGATAGACGTGTCACTGGATGAATCGAGGATTTTTTGGAAACGACAAGTTCCAGGGGGAAAGAAGACGGTATCGTGGATCCTCGGAACCTTCTCTTGTTTCTGATTAGTACAGGGTGTTTGTAAATACCGGAAAAACGTGTTCGATGATCGTTAAATAACCGTTGACAACAACATTTGCAGGTGGATGAAAAGTGCCAATGCTGTCAATCTTGTCGTGACGAAGTGTTGTTGAGGTTTGTTTGTTTAAAAACAACGCACCTTGCAAAACAGCGGAAGAGAATATCAATGCGTTTGTCTTTTATTTTCATAACAACGTTTGTTATTAATAAATGCGTTACAAATTGCTGGCAGAAATTCGACGGATTCTAAACGTATCCGATAGACGAGAGAGATTCCAGCTAATTTCCTAGTCCTAAATGAATCGGCTAGATTAGGTGGTAGATCCGTTAATTGAACGTCGGATTTGGACACCGCCGAGCACAAATTGGATCAGCATATGTATGCTCGCTGATTACTTATCGCGAATATCGATTATATACCTAATTATAACAGCATATAATAACCTATCCTGAAATGGAAAGAACCTTGCCAAAAAATTCCATCGATCGTTCCATGGGTATGACAGAACCATGACAAAGAAAAAGATTCCCCGTAAAACGACCGTTTGGAAGTCGTTCTGACCTCGAAAAAATCAATATTTATCATCCGATGACCTCGAATGACACGTTTCCAGTTACCCCGGTGTTTTCTCCCGACATCCAAATAATCCTGACCAAGTTAAGGTGCAACCACGAGGATGCGCTAGGGCTCGCAAGCAAACTTCGTCTCTCTCTGTCTGTTTCGGACCGTTATATCGCGTCTTAGCCCTGGAAAGGTGCGAGGATGACGAGAGACGAAGGGAAGAAGAAACACATGTTTCGTATTAGATCTTTTCTACCTGTCGACCCGAGCCAGGGCGTATAGAAAGTGTTTAACGAAGAATACTACGGAGTGGAAGCGAAGGTAACGACGCCAGGAGGAGAGAAACACGTGTTCCCGTGGCTAAGGTCGTAGACATTGTGTCCGAGGAAGAGGCGTCTAGGCAATAGCAGGTTCTTCCTTCCGGAACACATTGGCAACACATGTTTCCTATTTCGGGATGCACTTTGCTCCTGGCAAAAAGGTGCATAGCAAGGTGGTTATACAGCCCAGTCGTAAACAGCAGGTTCCAACCTGTCATTCTCGGTGTTCCCGAGATTTTTCGCTCGGTCGAATTCGCACACGTGACCATGGTGACCAGAGAGAATTTTCGGACGTGACGAAATCTTTGGCTTCTAAGCTACATCTGCAGGATCTCTAGGGAGACTGTTTCGGAAAATTCGATTTTCCCTCGTTATTCATCTCGACGATTATCGACGATAGTCTCGTCTGATGTATCGATAAGTCTTATTTACGTTGCTGATGTTACTCCTAATGACTGATATGATACGATATGACTGATTCGACGGCAATAAATTTTATTGCGCGATCAGAGCGAGCCACCTATTTACCCAATATCATTTACCCAATGACCGTCACAAGATTCAGGCGGTTGGAATTACAAGGTGTTTCGTGATTCTCGATATTCGCGACACGGCAAAAGCGTACACGGCCTGGACAGGCTACGGGTAACCTATAGTACCTCGTCAAGGGAACAGTACGGCCACCAGCAATCGCCTTTGCTTTCGATTTTGCCACCCGTCGTCTCGGCTATACGACCGTCCGGATCGGTCGTCATTCGAATCACTTGGGCTTTCCCCGGCAACCTCTGCCGTTTCTCTCTACTTCGCCCTTCGTTTCCTTTCTTTTTCCCTCTTAGCCAGCCTCTGCTCCTCTCGTTCCAACTGGCCGTTCCGTCTCTCTCGTCGAGAACAGGGAACCCAGACAGAGGAGTTTTCACGTGCGTGTACAGAGGGTCTTTCGACTGACCCTGCTCCAAGGGTGGAGCTTAAAATAAGGGTGGTACCTCACGGCTTACCTACCCCATCGAGAAACAGCATTGGGGATGAGATGGAAGCGAAGGAACAGCTAGTAGGAGGAGAGACACGTCGACGGAGAGAAAGAGAAAAGGACCAAACGCGACACGAGGTCTGCACGAACCGAACAACCCCGTGCACTAGTCGTAATTTAAGCGTAAAGGACGTCGGTCGTGGTGCGTGTTTCCCAGTCAATGTTCATTTCGGTATTTTCAAGGTCGTGACAGGAATCGAAATCTCCAGATCAGCGGACTTTTTTCTTCCTCCACCCGGCGAGCTAAAGGATCTGTCTGTCTCTCTTTTAACAGTGTCCAGATCCAGAGGAAGCTGCGTGTACATGTGTGCCTGTGTGTGTATGCGACCGAGAGAAAGTGTCTGAGGGGATTCGATCGAGTGGCTGAAAGCTCCGTGAAAACTTTCGACGTTGTCCGAAACACGTGGTCAACGCGAAGTTGCTCGGAGCACGCGAATTCTTCCAAGTGTCCAAGTGTCACGAACGAATTTCTATGGTAGTACTCGTACGCAGGTTTGATCGAATTGCGCGCGTCCAACGTGAAGACAGAAGATGGCGCCCACCGTCGAGAGTCATGGTCGACGTATTATTTTAGACAGCGATCCTTATATCGGTAGTTGGAGACGGAAACAGGCTCAGAAAGGTACCGAAGTTTGTTCCGAAACATGTCAATTTTAAAAGTTCACGCGACGGCTGTTCTCCTTCGAATTCTCACCTTCGCGTCTCCGCTTGGGATGCCAGCCAAAGATCATCGCGATGCTTCGATACACCATGCGAAAAATGTACAATCGATTTTATCAAATCTGCAGAGGAAGTATTCGTTCTTAATTTTAAAGCTTTCCAGTTGACAGTTTCAGTTTCAGTTTCGTCGTTTGCGAACGATTGATCGCAAGCTCGATTCATTCTGCCTCTTTAGAATCGCACCTTCTTGAATCTATTCGTTCCGCCATCGTGACGGGAAAGAAGTTTCACGACGTACTTTGTCCCGAGTACAGGGTATAAATGATTTTTAACCGTTGATTCCGGGAATACAGGAATAGGTACAGTCGAGTTATTTCCACGGTGTTATGCATGTTAACTCCTCTGTGGTACTTCTAGGTACTACGCTAATATACCTCCAGTCGCCCGAAGTCTCCACCTTCTTTATTTTCCTTCCTTCCCGCCGTTTTACGAGTGAAGCAAATGAAAACCAAGGATATTCGAATTCTTGACGCCTTATTGGCACGACATAGATTAATTTACGAAATCTCGGGATATTTCTTAACCAGTTGCTTCTCTGACTTTTCGCGATTGTATTTTAAAACCGAGGATTCCTTAGTCGAAAACGAGGAAGGAAGATATCGCGCTGTATTCGATTTTACGAAGTCGAGGTGCATTGTTACACACTTCACAGGGAAGATGTTGCGACCGAGTCGCGGAATTGGTGACTGAAACGACGGAGCAGGAAAAAAATGCATTATTCAAGCGAATTTCCATCCGTGAGAAGTCTCGGTAGATGGGTAGCTACGTCGTTAGATTGCTCTCTTGCCGGCGTTTTAATGACGGTTTGCTCCCTTTGCTTTCGGTTCTCATAACGAGCAGCTTCGGCGTCGTTATGGCTTTCGCGCTGTATCGTTCTTCGACGACGTCGATCGCGACATTAGCAACGTTACTTCGTGAACTTCTTCCTGCAGCTTCCACCCTTTTACTTCCTGCACATTGTTTACCTACGTTTTATTTTCGCCTTCCTCCTTTACAAATGTTAACCTTCCGGTTTAAATGCATTTTTCCACCCTCTTTCTCTTCGTACTCGAGCTATCGTCCTTGTTCCCTTTTCATCAAACAGAAGCTCGACGACAGCCAATTCTCTTAACGTTCCCGCGATATTTTTCTGTTTCAGACAATTCATCGCAAGACACTTTAGACCTAAGCTCGCACAATCACTATCCTCTGAACGGCAATTCTATCGCTAGTACGTCCGGTCCGCAGGAAGTCGTAATGAAGGAGAAAAGCAAGAAAGCAGCACGAGTCCGCCGCGACCGGGAGAACCAAGAATTTTTTAAGCTTGGAAAGCTTTTGCCTGTACCTGCCGCCCTCACCGAGCAAATGGATAAGGCCAGCGTCATTCGATTGACGACCAGTTATTTAAAGATGCGAGCGTTGTTCCCGCATGGTAGCGTTATAAATAATTATACCCTGTACACGATACCCGACTAGTAAATAGGATATGACGCTCTTGGAGGGTGCTCGATACGGTAACGACAGGAAGACGAGGCTAGGAAACGGATCGATCTGTATTTGTCGAAGTGTGAGTGATTACGCGAGATCGATACCACGTGCCGGGTAATAAACTTCACTTAGCGGTAAACGGATTGAAACGGTATTCTTTGTTAATTCAGCCACCGGACACTTACGCGCAAAGGGCAAATAGTATCGGATGAGATGGATGTGATTGCGCACTTAATGCATTGTTAGTCCCCGCTGCTTTGTAAGCAAAGCATGGGGGCTGTTATAGTGTTACAATGGCTTCCCTCGTCTCGCCCCCACCCCTCGCGTTCTTACGACATCGGTGAATTGAATTTCAAGTGGCTGCATCCCTCTAGAATACGGCCGCGTCTTTATTCTTCGAAAAAAAAGGAGAAATGAAAGGAAAGGGAGGGAAATAAAGGAGACACGTTGCCACTCCGTGACACTTCACGGGTGTTCCCTTTCGCTCGCGTGGAAAATTAGCCGGTGAACAGGTAAACGGGCGTGAAATTCCCGCTCGGATAAATGACCTCGTACTGGTCATCCTTGTCACGGAGCACGGGGATAAATAGCGGTGTTATTAACGGCTTTGTCCGATTTAATTGTATCGTCGAATCAGCGAGTCGCGCGGCGCGATTTTATCGGCGATTGTTATTTAAAAAATCGTACGCCCGTCGAACGACGCGGACGGGAATATCGATAAGCGGGATATCTGATGAAATTCCAACGAGACACCGGGTCTCCGGAGAGATGGCAACGATCAAGCCATTTTCCGCGAAATTCCGCGCGCCTGCAGAAAACGCCCCCCGCAGCTGCAATCGTGGCAGTGCCGCGCGTGAACGTAATTAATGCACGAACACGAAATACTTGGCTACAGGCTTACTTACACGTCGAGTACGAAACGTTGCTAGAAACATCTATATCGGATCATCGGGATAAGAAGATCGACTCGCTGTGATGTGTGCCGCGACCTCACGGCGGACATCTTCCACCGGTCTGCTAAATCCTTTCTTTCATCTCTCGTTCAACGTGTCTACGCTGGTCGCAGGATGGCTTAAACGATCGAAATAAACCTACTATCGAGCTCAAAATACAAAATGTAAAATTCCTGACTCTTTGCGCGATTCATCCATCGCGCTGACTGCGACTCGAAGGGGAGGGAACGATGCAACGAGCGAATTTTTAGCGTGAATTTTTCTTTATTCCCAAGTAAGAAGAATCGAAAGAAAAAGGAATTTTTTCGTCGCGTTCGAATAGATCGGGTAGAGGAAAAGTGTGACGATGGCGAAATCATTTTTCAGGGCTCGGAGAAGAATGGGGCGCTTCGCAGCCAGCCAACATCTCCCTGCAATTCGCCCTCAAGGAGGTGACTAGTTATATTTTGCAAGTAAGCACTCGTCGTTCTCTGTGTCGCGCCTTATAAATCGATCTGACGTCTTGCATACGTTGTGTCGGACAAACAACGTCAAGTTTAACCTTAGTATTTCCACAGACAGACACTTCATTATCCTGACAACCTTTATTATTTCGTTTTCTTTCGAATTAAACGAGATAAAGGCGCGACCAGGAGTTGAAAGCTCTTCTGTTCGATACGAAAGGGGATCCTGGCGTAACCAACTGGTCGACTCTAACTTCTGACCATCTTCTCTTCGTTTCAGGCCTTGGACGGTTTCGTGTTCGTCCTGGCTCCCGATGGAAAAATCATGTACATAAGCGAAACTGCCAGCGTGCATCTGGGAATGGCACAGGTCAGATATATTCCTTACTTTTCTACCTATCTCTCTGTGTCGCGCCAAAATATTAAACTTCGTCGAGAAAACGAGACCTGCTGACGAAAAATGTTGATGAGTCCAGGTGGAATTAACGGGGAACAGTATCTTCGAGTACATCTGCCAAAACGATCACGCGGAAATGATGTCGGTCCTAAACCTACCTCAGAGTCCTGCAGACCTCGCTGGTTTCACGTTTCCGCCTGCAAACTCGAGGGATGAAATCGAACTGGAACGCGTTTTTATCCTGAGGATGAAGTGTAATCTGGCGAAGAGGTGCGCGGGTCTCGTCAACGAGGGATACAAGGTAACGTGACAAAAATCATACGAAATATCCTCTTTTCGTCTCAAGATGAAACCGAAGGATACTGTAATTAAAATAATTTAGACTGATCGATCTAGCACGAAAGCCAGGGAAAAATTCCCAAAAATAATTCGAGCGTTCATGGTTATCATGGGGGCGAAAGTACGCGGCGATTATCGGTTTATTGGGTTTCGTAAATCGCGCAATATTCGCGGCAAACAAGCCGCGGAGTGGAGACGCCGTAGAGGAGACGATCGGCGATTAGCATAACGCCTAGGCTGCTTGCACAGGAAATCATAAAACGAATAAAAATTCAAATGCTAAATAAGAGATAAGAAGTGGCGAGCTAAGTAGGGACGGCATTGTCCTGGTCACGCGCGAGTCGAAAAGAAAACGGCCACCAGGTAGAACGCGCGCTGCTTAAATTCGCTCGGCTACATCCGTTCCTTCCGTGCAATAAAAACACCGGCCACGTGAGCGTGTTTCGTATCCGGAATAATCGAGATTTACGGAAAATCTACCCTTTTCCCATTGTGGGCCAATTTTATTTCCGCCGATTTCATTCCGTCCCCGGTACGCATCGATTCGAGCTTCCCCGATAATTTTTCTATACCTCGAACGTGCCTTTCCGTTCGTTCGTCTTCGACGAGGTATTCTTCCCAAAAAATTCGCGATGGGGTAAAAATGACAAATTTTTCTCGAATTTCTCGCGTATCGTTATTTACCATTTTACCATCGACGACCACTGCGGCTATCAATTACACCGAATCGAATATCTCACAGCCACTTTTCGAGACTGCGATCGATGTGCCCGAACACGGAGCGCATCGTTATTCACGGATTATCCAAATTACTTTCATCGATCCGATTAAAGCACAGCCTGCCGGCGCGGTCCAGACTCCGTCGACGATTGCTCGCCACGATTTACGATCATTAATACCACGAACGATTGGTCGGAAATCGGGAAAAGCCGGTACTTTCACGGTCATCGAGCCCAGTTTCGCCAAATGTGCTACATATGTTCCGAGCAATAACGATCGTTCAACTTATCCTCGTAAAGGGTAACGCAGGGGCCGGAAAAGGGACCTGCGACACTTTGCACTTGCCGTGGAGACAGCCCTCGAGAAGGAAAATGTTTGGCAAATAGCTCGTTCAAGCCCGCAGCGCTATGATGACCGTGGCTCTCGACGGAATCGCACACAGAAAAGACCCCAATAGGCGTTGAGCAAAGTCATGAATGCAACCCCTGTAAGCTGTTAAAGGCTGGTTCCCCGAGGGGGGTTTCGGGGAACGGAGGCGGCTTTTTGTATGGCACTTAGACGCACAAAGACCAAACCGTAGTTGGCTCGACTTTGTGGAAGTGCGAGCACGCGTTTTGTTGGATTTACACGGATTCGAGCGCGTATGGTAGATCCGATCCACGATCTTACGAACTGATAGACTAATGGAGAAACATTTGATTCCTCGATCGGTTTCCAACGATTAATAATTTTAACAAATTCTTGTGAAAATCGTAGTACACGAAATTAAAAATTGGTAATTTTAGACTATCAATTTTTATACATCCTCGTGTTGTTTCAAAAAAAGGAATTAATTTGAAAAATTTCGACGGTAGGGACACGATCGACAGCGAAAATTATTTCGGCTAAGAAATTAGAACTTATATCAGGGTAAAATGAATTCATCGGTGAAGTCTCTCGTGCTCATTTCCAGAGATAGAATCCTCGCGTGTCCTCGCGCACCCCGTCACGAATTATGTATTTCCATTCCTGCCGTTTCCATGTCACCCTCGTGTTCCCGTGCTCGCACGCTCCGGCCCGCGCCGATGCACCGCGCAATTGCATATATGAGAGAAGCGAGTATGCAACGCGGGCATACGGAACAAGCCTATTTGCTTTACAAATCCGCGATGCACTCGAGACGCAGGCGACGTTGAACGAGGCTTTTTTCCGTTTCTAAGGCCATTTAATTAAGCAGGAATTGTTAATTTGCCCCGGGAGCGGCGTCGTTCCACGCGAAAATCCGCACTTCAACCCCCACGGGGAACTCGCTCGAGTGTCGCACTTACGCTCTATCGGGACCGCTGTATAACATTAAGAATAATCATGCGCACATGTGTAAATAACGATAAGTCCTCCCTGTCGAGTGTGCCACCCTTAATTGCGACTTTCGTTTGAACACCCACACGGTTCCCGCCTTTAAACTGTGCCCCCCAGTCTTTCGATCAAAGGTTAATCTGAATCTTCGTTCGCCAAGTTAATCGAATCGAATCTAGGGGAAGCTTAGCTCGACACGAGAATATCGAAGAACATTTCTCTGTACAGACGAATCGATCTCGTTTTACAGGTGATACACTGTTCCGGCTATCTAAGGTGCATCGTCGAGGGCCCAGTAGGCTCGGAATACGAAGATGGCGCTGGCCTGCCATGTATTCGCAAAGTGGGCCTGTTGGCGGTGGGTCATTCGCTACCGGGACGTTGTCACACGGAAATCAAGCTGTACCAGAACATGTTCATGTTCCGTGCGTCGTTGGACCTGAAGTTGATCTTCGTCGACGGCAAGTAAGAAAGAAGGCGAATTGATTGCCTCGGAATAGATCGATCCTCTTCTATGGAGATTTTTCCGGTGAATCACGTTTATTTGCCTGGTGTCTCGATCGAATTCGAGCAGTGGGAGGGAAAAAAAGAGAGGGGGCAAGGGGGAAACTCGACGAAACAACGAGCCAGATTATTTCTGTCGCTGCAATTACGGCGCGGTGTTAAGTTGCGTCGTCGATATTTCGACGCCGGAGTAGAGAAGGGTCCTGGTCGGCGGCCATTAAAATCAGTTTCGTGTTACCACGGACTCGCTACATATTTTTTCCTTTCTCTTATATTTTTTTTTTTTTTGCTCTTTGTTTCCTCTTTCTTTCTCTTTCTCTCTTTTCCCCTCCCTTTTTTTTATTCGTGTCAAATAAATATCCCGCGTGGACAAGACTGTATCATGCACGTACAAGCTGGGAAATGAACACGTGACGGAGTATAAATACGGGGTAGGGCGATGGAACGCGGGATGAAATTTTATATCGCGTGCGGAAAATCGATTTCCACGGATGGCGACGGTTATGTAAACCTCGAATTCGACGGGACTCCGGCAGATCCGAGTAAAAATAAATATACTCGTTTCTGGAATATTTGTAGCGAAGGAAAGGTTAGCGCAGCGATATTGTAGCGTTCGTTTTTCGTTCTCCTTTGTGCTGTTACAGCGTATCGCAATTCACCGGCTACGATCCTCCTGATCTCATCGAGAAGACGCTGTACCATTACGTGCACGGGTGCGACATGATGCAGCTGAAATACGCTCACGAAACGTGTAAGTACCAGCAGTGACGAGTCTTTCGATCGGAAGTGAAGGTTTCCTAAGTTTTCTCTAAGTTAACTTCGCATTTCGAATCTGATAAAGTTGCATCTTCGCGGAAAGTTTAAACGTCGAGTGAAAATTGTGTAGATCGAAACAGGGCTTATTTGCCCTGACGCGTGTAGTCCGAAAGCGGTCTCAGAGGCGTCGACGTGGTATCAGAGTGCTCGGAGAAGAGGCTCTCGCAAGGCCAAAAGCAGCTGACGCTGCTTAACTCGGCGACGCCCTCGCTGACGAAATATCCTTTGATCTTTCCTTACTCTCATCCTCCGCGAGTCGACTTTTGAGGCGAAGCAGCGGATATAACAGCATTTCCCTTTTTTCTCTCCTCTCCTTTTTCTCTACCCCTTCTTTGCCGCACGCCAGCACGTTAAAGTCTAAGTATATGCACACGTAGTACATACAGGGTGTACATTATTGATTGAACAATGCTGCTATGGCGCTATGAGCACAGTAGAAAAGAGAGGCTGGCCCGTGAATACGTGTCTGTGCCTAGGTGTCTACGTGTGTATTTGTGTGTGCGTGAACGTCAGCGCGAGGGTGGACGAGAAGGAAGAGAGATGGAGGGGCGAGGGGTGGCAGAAGAGGGCAAGAGAGGAGGAGGCTGTTACTGCTATCACTGTTTGAACAGACTCGCAGTTTCACGAGCGCAACTCGAAGGGAGCCTGACATAATGCCACTAATGTCTGCGCCTGCGGATTGTACGATCGACGTTACGCTCGAAAATTTTCTTTCGACGCCTCGCGAGGCACCTTTCCTACTCCGATACCTTACGAAGAGGAATTCGAGTTCGGAAATGATCTTAAAATCCAATTAATCTTAATGCGAGGTGCCTCATCTTTCCTCTTTGTGTTTGCAGTATTGTTCAAGGGACAGGTGATAACCAAGTACTACAGGTTTCTAACGAAATCGGGAGGATGGGTCTGGATGCAGTCATACGTCACGATCGTGCACAACTCCCGAAGTTCCCGACCACACTGTATCGTGTCGGTGAACTACGTATTGACGAAACCAGAGAACACGGACATACTGTTGAGCTGCGAGCAAAAGTCCTTCTGCTCGAACCCAAGCAATCCGCCCAGCACCCCACTGTCCACGCCGACCACCAGTGGTAGCGTGAACGAGTTGGACAATCGCAGTCCCAGTTCACCGGCGTATCGAAACAGATCGAAGGAATCGCCTGACAACGATTACGCGAACGGTGCCACATATCCTAGACCGGAGTACGTTGATCTGACGAATCACAATCACTATCTGTCACCGTCTTATCAGCCTCAGAACGTGAACAGCAGCTCCCACGAGGACAATCTCAAGTACAACTCCGACTGGTTCTATCAATATGGAGGTAAGGAAGCATCGAGTACAGAGATCATGAATAGACGTAAGAAGGATTAGAATTAAGCATCGGAACCTTTCTTTCAGAAATGCACCAAGATCCCCTCGCCGCGGTTCCGCAGCAACAAGAAGCGCAGCATCCTCACCCCCTGCATCACGCCAACTCCCCGTCTAACCTGCAGCAACATAGCCCCCAAAACGCTCAGCCGAAACATCAGCATTCCACTCACCTATTGGATCACCCGACACCTCCGGCAAGTCTGTCACAGCCGCAACCACAGCCACAGCCACAGCAACCACCGCCGCAGCAACAACAACACAGTCCTCAAAGTAACCAGCAGAACAGACCTTACTCCACCTCGTCGAGTTCCTGTTCCAGTGCAGACGCCATGGATAATCATTTACCGAGCACCCTGAGCGTGTACTCTCTACCACACGGTTATCATCCTTACTACCATCCCTACATGCCCGACTCGGCGCCGTCGAACTTGAACGAAGTCGGTGGCGTGATCATGTACCCTAATTGCAGCCTGAACAACGAAACTCACAACGCGACTGCGAGTACCAGTGCTTCGAACAACGTCCAACATTACGAATCCTCGTATCAACCTCATCTGAGTCACTACAACACCAACAACAACCCTGCAAAACACTCGTACCATCACCAAGAACCAACGCCGCCTGGGTACACCAGCGTGATCGTGGACTCGCAGCAGTACAGCCCCAGCTCTGTGCAAGATCTCATTCATTATCAGCATCATTACGAAGCGCCTCACCAATTCGTTCACTGACACCAGCTAGAAGCGCCTTGCGCATAGCACGTCGACACCAATTGTAACCACGAGTCCTGCTATTGTGATACGTCCACCGAGTCCAACCATCCTCGCGCGAATAACGATTTCTCGCAAGAACGATCGAGTACGGACGATCGTGACGATAACTCGAGGACCACCGTGAACAACGAACACGAACAGGTTGTTCAAGTGAAGGCTAAAATCTGGTGCGCCCGATCGTCGGATATCTGGAAGATCATCCTTGGCACTAACTGGCAGTGAAACGTCGCGAACTCGAAGTGAAATCGAAACGACGAGTGAAACCAGGATGAAACCGAGGTAACACGGGCATGTTGAGAACGTCGCCGAGTACTGCCGATTTTGTATAAAGACTCGTAACGAGGACAGGTGTACAGTCGATATATTTAAGCAAATGTTTCGTATACCGTGTGTAGAGCATGACTGACGATCTACCCCGACATTCGTTGATCCTTTCTCATTGGGTCTGTTATCCGTATACTTTATTCACATATCAAGATACTTAACTTCCTCGTTCGAAGAACGTAGAACTAACGATAATTAATTGCTTCAAGATCAATATCAGTTAAGCCTCGAGTATTCTAGCGAGTAACTAAGTTTGTATCGCAAATGCGGCCACGAAAATGCGATTTTCGTTTTCCGTAAGAATGCCTCTTAACATATCCTTCGAAGTCTATTTATTTATATTCGAACCCGTTTGATCATTTAATCGTTAATGACATTCGTTAACGTTAGCCATCACTTAAGGCAACCGTTTCTCGATCGCGTATTTATAAGCAGAATTTCCATTTGGATACTGAGAAATTTGTAAATTCGATGGATCCACGATGAGCATGGTAAAGAGAACAATCCAAATTCGACTGGACGGTTCCTAGTGACTTTCGAGAAGAACCAAATTCGAACTGATACGAGGGAAACGAAAAATTCGATTCGAAAGGAAGAGGAAGCAAATGGAAGAAGAGAATTTCTGCGAATTGCACGCTGGACGTGAGCAGTATATATAAATTCCTTTTAAGCTGAAGAAGCCCGAAGATACGAGACGATCGTGCCCCTGTGGACGAACGATTTTATACGATTTAATTACACGGATTGTTCCGCAAAAATACTAGCGTGTGTTCATCCGCGAACAAGTAGTTACAGGCGTGCAACTGTACATAAGAGGAAGAGGAATGGCGAACCGAAAGAGACTCGAGTGGTTAACGCGAGACACTTAATTTGTAGACATGTACATTACGTAGTCGTTCATAGCTGCTAAAATTTATATATATAAATACGCTAGATATTTCTTAGGTAGACCCGAAGACTGACCGGTGCTTGTACCAACCGACCAAAGAAACTCACCCCTTCTCGCGAGAAGAGGGAAGAAAGGAACAAATATCACCGTTGTTATACCTTAACCCGCGTTTATTTAAACATCGCGCGCAGCCTAAATTCGATATTTAATGACTATGACCATAGAGTATTCTGGCAATCCCAGTTACATTTTAACCATCGAAGTATTTTATTAACGAACGTCTAGTAACCCCTACGAACGGTTCCCCGAGACCGCCATGTTAGCGCCGCGAGGCTGATCACATGTATAGAAACACGTGTACACATTGCCAATGCGAAACACTATTATTTATAATCGATGTAAATTAACGAAGGTACGATTGATAGCTGGCCGATGACCACCGCGTTGTATGATACGATACTAATCTAAGCGTTGTAAATATTGTAAAACTGATAGCGCGCGCGCTGCATACCTATTGCGAGAGAAATATAATCGATATTTTCCTCTGATGATCTACCTTATTGTCACTCTCTCTCTCTCTCTCTCTCTCTTTCTCACTATTTCTCTTTCTCTGTTTCAAGCAAAAGATCCTACTTTTTCAATTTTTAAACCACCGAAAGTCAAGTTTGTTCTCCCCCGTTACGATTGGAATTGTAATAAATTGGAAATAACGAGAAATCGAAATAAACCAGTGATACCGAATTGTTCTTGAAGGAGATTATTCGATCGATAATCGGCAAATTTATAGTAGGACTTGCGTTTTACTAAGTTTCTTTAATTATAAATCCAAATACGTTTGAAGTTTGTTCAAAGGTATCGAGTGAATAAATTGCACAAAATTATCTCGACCGATTCGCAGTTGACGTTAACGTTTATACCCTAAATACCTGCGGCTCGTTACGTTATAGGAAACGAAGTTTTCTTTTCACTACGGGGTTTCCCCATTACCTTCAATCTGCTTTTCCGCAGGTACCCGTGAAAAGCAGATAACATTGCCGAGAGTGCGGTATATTTCCCCCCTCTACTGAATTTATGGAGATTAAGCCGAAACATATGGGCTCGTTGGACATACACCCCACAGGATCTCGGATAAATGATTCGCATCTACCTTGTACCCCTTAATTCGCAGATAAAAGAATATCTCGACGTTTAAAATGGATGTTCATTTATATTCTACCATTAACGAATATAAAAAGAAATGGAGATTATAAAACCATACAAAGTGCACAAGAAAATGAGTACTCAAAAATTCTAGTAACAATATCGATAAATTGACAAAAATTACGAGAAATCTTTATCAACTGTGCGTTTCAAGTGTACGCGGATAATAAAAATGGAAAGATTATCAACCTCTTATCTTACCATTTAAGATCCAATGGTGTGCGTCACGAGGAAAATTATTTCCAAGTCATTTTTGACTATTTTTTAAATAATTTTTAAGCAATTTTTACCACGTATATCACAGTGAAAGACAAAAACTTACCATTCCAGAGAGCTATCCCACGACAAAGGCATAGCCGAGGATCGGCTGGCAGCATCCGTTCCCTGGACCCCTCGTACGAAATAGAAGAAAACAACGATCCTGTTTTTCTCCGGCGTTCCCCCGATTGTCACTACACCGGGACGAACAATAAATTAATTGTGCCTTGTACGATTCTTGGGTTAGCTTTCGGTGGTCGCGTGCTTGCCTGCATGGGGTCGCTCATGAAGAGAGGCACGTGCCTCTTTATAATCGCCGTCAGCCTGTGCTGCTCCGCCATTAGAGCGACGTCTAAAAAGACAGGTTCCACGGGACGAGTCACTAATTTTTCTATTCGACAACGAAATCACACTGGGATCGTGCGATTTTCAAGTCGACATGGTGCTGTGAGAACCAGAGAAATTATAGTCTTCCCTCAACCGTGTTCCAAATCCAAATTCTCCGAAGAATCTCTACTCCTGGAGGTACCAACGATTCGAATAGTCGATTTACGCCAGTCTTCGACATTCGGATCCATTTCCATACCAAGATCTTTAACCGAATATCGATCTACGATATCGCTTCGTCGTGCATCGTTCGAAATGGCACTGTTGCACGGGAATGATCGACTCGAGCATAGGAATAGCGTCGCGATCGCTGGCAGACTTGTCACGGGCAGATCATTCGCGTGATTCGACGTGCGTGGACAGGTCCATGAATATACATCGGTCGTGAGATCGGTGTAACGAGGACACAGTGGCTAAGGGTGTTCGCGTTCACGAGGACCGCTATTATCGAGCGTGTGTGACTGGAACGGCGATCGCTCCAGAGGAGGGCTAGCCGCGTGCGCCTCGTTAAATTCTTCGGCCAACGAATGTGACGCGGCCACGATCCTGTGAAATTGCGCGATCACCCGTCGCGGATGTGCCCCGTTGCCGACGGCGACGTCTCGACGCTGACCGCGATGAAGCCGACCAGAGGAAAGGTCGAAGGCGTCTTAATTTGACGGGAATCGAGGGACGCCTGATCAGCTATACGGAAGGACGGTTGTGGGAATTGAAGTTGCTTGTTAAACGCGTTGGGAAATGTTTGAAGTGCAACGATGGAGCAACGACGGTAATTTGGGTTGATATGGTGGAACGATCGTTTAGGATTGATCGAATGACAGGGTCAGTGAAAAGTTCACGGTTCTTGCAATGCGTTTGGCTAACTGTAACGTGGAGAAATAGTCTCTTTCCGAGCATTTGCATAATCAAAATCGCACTGTTGGAAGCCCCAAAGACTTAAAGCGAAATGCACCCTTGTATCTTGGGGTGTAGAAAAGATTGCCGTTATCCTGGATAAGAAATGCGACGATGATACAACGAAACACCGATGAAGAAATTCATTTGCTCGAGTAGAAAATAAAAATCCACGTTTCGGTGGATATTTTAAACAGACTTTCCTTGGATTACGTTCTCAGCGACACGTGCGCTGCGTTTTATCGCGTTCCGCTGGAAAACGAAAGAAAAACATGGCATGTTGCAATCGAGTGCTGGAAGACTAACATATGTCTCGTGGCACGGTTTATGAGGGACAGGACGAAACTGACCGTAATCCAGCCCGATTAGGAGCATAAACGCGGATTCACGGGGTGCGGTTAAACTAAACACTCGACAAGTTGCGTGTGCCGGTGGAAGCACTTATATAGGTATATCTAAATAGAGAGGGGCGATATTCGCTTATTATTAAGGGGTGAACCAGCATACCTCGCTGTACTCTTTATTCCTTTTATTCTAATCAAAGACGAGAAAAAAATTATAATTCCACTACGCATATATATATATATATATATATCTTGGATTAAACGCTAAAAGATAAGTCGTATATCGATTTAATTCTTTGAACGATACATCGCGTCATTGGAATCCATCCTGGAATTATAACCTAACCTAAATTATAACCTAAATCGTCCCGGATAGAATTCGATTCTGATAGAATTCGAAAAATGCTGGATGAGGTCTTACGGCAGACCCGCGAAACTCGAAATATTTTCCAGAGTACGATAACTGATATCGCGTGTGGTGGTATGCCAGCGATTATGGATAGTTTCACATACACGAGGAGTCGACGGGAGCCGCGAAACGTATACAGAGAAAAAGCGGACGGTGCGCGCGCCTTGTAAATCTGGCATGTAGACGAGGCCAGGTGGCGCTTCCGCGGATATATAGATGCACGCTGTACGCGCGCGACACCCACACAACCACGGGGAACAGAGCATACGTATACAGGGGCGGATGGGCCTGTGCGCAATCAAGGCGAAGGGGTGCTTTAGCAGAGTCGCCCCACGGTTACCAAGGCAACGGCACGTAACGCCGCCCACAACCCTCAGGCTGTCTTGTCCGATGTGTTTGCTCGATGATTTTATACCAATTACGGCCTATCCCCATGCTATTGCCTACTCCCCGTAGCATCGTCTGTATCCCTACCTACGTCCTCATCGCCACCCACTTCGACGTTGTTGCGTATATCGGTCGGAAGGTGCTCCACTTCCGCTCTAAAAGAAATTTCCAAGTACCTGGTGCAAGCATTTATATACAAAGTCGCAGATTTCCCTGGTTTCGTACACCTGCCGTTGCATCCTTTGATACGTCCTGTAGCATCTCCGGCTCGTAAACATCCCGTGGAAGCTTCTATGCTAATTTACTTTCACTCCTTATTTCACGATTTTACTCGAATCGTTTCTGTTTTGGTTAACATCGCGACGTCGAATTGACGGGTATCGAAACTGGCTACTTTGGTGCCCTCTGGTCGTCGATACAGATATTACGCATCGATTCTTTTTGCGATTCGAGTGGTAGGTATCGGAGAGCCTAGAGGGATCGGGATACCAGGGTGGTGTTCAATTTCTGAGGTGACACCGGATCATTGGGGAATAATTACCGGAACACACACGATGCCCGAGAGTTAAGTGGACATTAATGGAAATGCACGATAAGAGGATTACGTATGATTGGAGAATAAATATAATGTATAATTTATTGATGAAATTCGATCCTACATTGAAGATACGTAACGCTTTTTGTATAAAATCGGTTTTAATGGAGTCACGTGCAGCATTTTCCACGATTTTGTAAATATCGAATCGAAAATAATTTCTGTGCTGGGAAAAACGTGTATTATGGTATCTGGTGTCTTCATCGGAGTGAACGGTAAGGTAAAAGTTAGGTTATTTCCGACTAAAAAGTACAGCTATTAAAGGGTAATAAATAGTCGATAAAATAAAGAATACGATAATATTTATTATAAATAATATACAATACAAACAAAATAAACTCTATTTTATCTAAAGAATCTTTGGAAGTTTATAGCTGTCAATTAGAAATGAAGTATGAATACTCGAAGAAAGAAAAAACGAAATAGGAAGCCCAGACAAATTTTAGTAATTACTGCGTTTAGGTTATGCAAATTACTTGCATACAATATTTACCTCATTTACCACGTTTATTTTTATTCTCATTTTTAATGACCACTGTTACGAGCTATTTCCCTGAGTGACTAATGCATATAGCGTAATCTATCGGTAACTGACTGTACTATTTCTAGATAGTTGATTTTTTTGCCAGACCTTATCATCTACAGATAAAGTAATCCTAAATAGAATTTATTTTTCATTACTCATTAATTTACTTAATACGTTTTTACTTCCACTTTGATCGTTCGATAACAAAAGTTATAACGAAATTATGTATAAATGAATATATATATATGCGTATATAAACAAATTTTATGGCAAATGACAATTCACTTCACGTGAGTCTTATACTTTACGAACGGATATAGAGTATAATTCATTAATTATACCAAATTTCTCGATCTCTTAATTCGTTAGATGTTTCATTGAAGCTTATGGTTCATTGTCAGAACTTTGATCGTGCCTCGTGGTAAGAACCATAATGATAATCTTTCTTCGTTCCGAAATCATCGTTAAAGTTATCGGAACCGCTGTACATCGAGAATCCACGCCGTGATAGCAATTCTCCTGGCACAATCGTGGGATTCGTGTAACAAAAGTCTGCCATCATATTGGTTTGTCTGTTCAATTGATTGGACCTGAACAGTTTTACCGATTTAATAAAATCTAGTTCTCGCTAGAAAACTAAAGAAAAGATAAATATAGAAGCGATTCCAAGTGTATTCGAAAGATTCGTTTAAATATCCTTTTGCAAATCGAATTACGAAAGATTAAAGTGTATTTTACAAAATCGGCAAGACACTAGTAAAAAAATTCATCTTGTCGCGTGCAAACCGTTTTAATTTTCGTATCCATCTCACATTCTTTTACCAAGATAAGCTAAACAATCGCGTCGCGCGTAACAAAGATACGTTATCGATGCCCATAGTGAGTCATGAATTAATATTTTTTTTTTACTCGCGCGATTCCGTTAAATCGGTGTTGGGAATCGTATTTACTCTTCACGACATAAATCTTACGTGACTTTTTTCAGATTTGCAGTTCGTCGAGAACGTGGCATGTCCCAACAAGGCGGAGCACCGGCTAGGCCACTGATATTCAGTGATTTCGGTGAGAAAACTCGTCAAATATTTCGATTAAGATATATTCGAACTAAATCATTCGAGAAGCAAATGGGAATTTGCATAGACCAATAAACAGGGAAATAATGCTTCCCGATGTCGGTACTTACCCATCTGTTGATAATCGTCTCACTTTGACAAACAGTACACACACTAGAATGAAGAGCAACAACAGAGCACCGCCAGCAATCCCGCATGCTATGGCAAAATACAGCAACAAGTCATCGGCTTCCTGGAAATATTCAATCTAACCTTAAATGTGTTTCGATAAGGAACATCATCGTTTCGACACCGACAGCTATTTTTAGAAATTTCTAAATATCATCGTTAACGAATTTACCCAACTCTATAATTATTAGCAGTGAAAAGGAAATTTCTTAATGTGCCGGTCGACGAGGAATCCACACTGACGAGAAAGACACTGACGTATCGAAATGTGCCAATAGAGCGAGGGCGTAACAAAGATGGATGTAGTGAGAATGCAAGAATGTGAAAGAATTTTTGTCACGCACGGTTGCTTTGCACTTCCTCGAGGCACTATTTCGTAACCTATGTTTAACGCATCGGACGTCAAGATGCCATAAAGTCTAATAAACATATTGAACGCAAACAGGAAAAGTACGAATCTCGTACTGATTTCGCCACACGAAACGTTCGAAACGATATGAATGAAGAGACACGACTATGATGTCACTGAACGATACTATCCTACGCCGAATGTAATAGAATAGTTAATGCTGCCTGCGAATCGCTTTCATCGCATAATTTCAGTGATTCTTCTTGCGCCAGTTCAACCTTGAAGATAAATGGTTGCATCTCTAATAGACAAGCACTCGTGTGGTCGTAATTAGCATTACAAAACAAGCTCTATTACGGCTACGTGATTAGCCTCGTTTCTCGCGAAAGTACTAACACACGTGTGATAACAATGATTGTTTAATTCAATTAATTATCTACAAATGCTAAGTGATATCGAACAGAGTTCGCTATTGTTTCGCGGATACAACGTTGCGTATGGTACAATTGCTAGAAATCTGTAAATGAGCGCAACCATTCATCTGCTCATCATAATCTTAAGACGCGTGACAACCTTCATGTGTGCGTATATTAAAGCGAAACTATGTCGCGCAACTTATACTTATTAACTAAAATGGAATTTGCTGTTAAGGGACACAACATTGCGACCTTACGATCGATTTGAACGCAAATCGTAGGAATAGCAAAGGATCGCGTACTCACCATGATAAATATGATATAAACTGTGTTAAAATGACACGAAACCTCCCCGGAGACAATACTGTACTGGCGCACACACAATTAAGATATCGGTATCAACGCGTTATCGTGGCCAAAGCGATATCTGCGAAAATCTGGTGGCATTGTAGAGCTCTATTTTAACGAAATTTTTCGCTATTCGTGTATAACGTTTAGAAATATTATATATAAGAAACTGTAACACAACAAAGATGACCACCGATAACTTTCGCGCGGAACACAAAACTAACGATAACTGTTCACCGAAAGCGTGTCCAAAGCGAAGAACGAATTTCTCGTGGTAAAAATCGAACGCCGTCACGGTGAAAACACGGAAGAGTTGGTAAGATAATAACAGAGTTGAAACTTCTGATCACGAACAATTACTTCACGAAACCGTGGAATCCTTTGAACACCGTCGTAAACTCCATTGTTGCTCGATAGAACAGGTGACTAGGTAAATGAACACTATTTAAGACCGAGAGACGAGAGTGAAGTAAAGTGTGTAACAGTGCCAGCAAAGCAACGCTGAATGCTGATAAACCCCTCCAGCCTGTGGAAGGTGTACGTGTACACACGTGTGCGCGCGGCCTGACTTCTTGCAAGGGCATTCGCGTCCTCCGCGTTCAGTCGAGTCCCTACGTGTTACGCCAGCACGTACGTATTTACGTGGGTATCGTTAAATTTTTGCATCGCAATCGAACGTCGATCTACCTGTGGAGACACGCGACACAAAAGACCGGCATACGTGAACAATGCTTGGCTACTGAACACACCTGCCTTTGGAAACAACTACGTAAACATCGTGAACGCGACGAACCCTTTTTAGTATGCGTGAGTTTATTTACTTACGTGTTATGATAATTTACATTTATTTTTGGTACTTAATAATAAACATAACAGTTATCCTCTTTTATTAGGTTGTCTTTTTATTAGATCGTATTGCTTACATAACTAACTTTTTTGTTATGATACAAGAACATCATTTTTTTTAAGGCACTTCTTATTTTGATTCTTTGATAAAATGATCCAGGTATGTTTATATTAACAATCTTTTAAAGAATTACAAAATAGTATTTATTTATAGTAAATGCTAATAGAGAGTATATAAATTAGAAAAGATATACATGGTACATTAATATAAAAATTGTACTAAAATGTCATGAATATGTACATATATACAATTATACATTTAATCAATTATTTTACAATATCTATACAATATCGATCAATGTTGTATTATCTGAAGACTTTGATTCGTGCACTGATGGTATCATCAACCACTGTAGTATATGAGGGAGCAACATACTCATACTTAAATATAAGTAATATGGAATAGGTTGTGTAGAACCGAACGGACAGAACCATAAACCCCTCCTTGTCCCATCTCTTATATGATGGCTTAAAAAACTTGCCAATATTATCCAAGAATAATAAGTAAATTTTGGATGATTGAATATACTCGAGTAAAAATTTAGCATGAGCCACATTGAAATAGGAAGAGTGGTACAATGAAAGAATGGTCGTTTTTTTAAATGTGTTACATCCTGTAAAAAGAAATAAAAAAATTTTGTTATGTTATGTTATTAAAAATTGCGATAATTATTCTTTTATAATATATAAACAACATAATAATAATTGTGCTATTAAATAGTTAACCTATATTTGTCACGATGGTGCTTTATATCTTCGTATAAAAATAATTTCTTTATCATTCCCATAAGATATGTTCATTATTAAAATGATAAAAGGTTATGATGTCACTTACACTCAGCTTCCAACTGCATGCTGCAATAAAATGATCTATGTCAATAAAAGATGACAAACAAAAGCACCAGACAATGCTTGGAAAATTTTGGATAAAAGGTTTTTTAGACAAATTTAAAATAACTGCCCAAGTAAGACCACCAACAATTGCATGAGTGACATTGTCAAAAATCGCGCGTGTCGCAGCAGTCTTCCCATGTTTTAAACCTTGATCACCAATGAATGAACAAATACCTATAGCACTAGTTAATACCACACGTAAAAAAATTTCTTTTTTTCCAAGAAACATTGTAAGTTGTTCATAAATGACTATACTGGTTTTATTAAATTCTTTGTATAAAAAATGACGAAGAAACTACTCTATAAACAGAAACACGCCATTTTGAATGATCAATGCCTGGATATAGTGCATTCGTGTATATAATATTTTACGTTATACCATATTTGAGCTAAGATTGTAATTAAGATATTTAACACATTTCTTACTGAATTTTAAATTAAACAAATATTTATATTGATTAAGTTCATAATTCATCGTTACATATCATAGAATTTATTTTACAATTATTTAAATCTTATTTCGACATATCAAATTTTAGAATGGCATCGGATATGGGCCTTGGCGGGATGCATCTTTCACTGTGCTGATATCGATCGAAATAAACTATTGTAACATTCGAAGTTTACTATTGAAAGTACACGAATTTCTTAAACTGTAGTTTAGTGAAGTTAAGTGAAAAAAAGAAAATATTTTCACTGCTACTTTACGCTGCATTCACCTTTCACAATGGTAAATAATGTTTTCTTTTAGTTAAAAATTGTTTCGAATATACGTTGTTTTGAAAATCGCGTATGTCATATGGTATTTGTTCTGAACGGGCGTCATAACGGCTTCTTTGCAGTATTGTGCGGTTTATCAAACACGTGTTATCAGAATTTTCTTTAATTATTTACTAAAATAGTATTTTCGTAGTGTTGTTAAAAAATAGTTGTATAAATACAACTTGGTAATAAAAATGTCGAATTTCAAGGTAATGCTGGTTGTACGCGATTTCATTCAACACAATTTCTTTGATAACGATGGCGTCGTTATGATTTTTATAGTATTATTAATTTAGATTATTCAGTTATTATGTGTATAGTATACTGAAATTTATAATGTATTATGAATTATGTTATTTATAATTTTTGCCACATTTATTTCAGCCACCTGATTCTAAGAGAGAAGAATTTAGAAAATATTTAGAAAGGGCAGGCGTTATGGATGCTCTTACAAAGGTACTTGTATCTTTATATGAAGAACCAGAAAAACCAGAGGATGCTTTAGAGTATCCTTTTAAAAGATATAGTCAATATGTTTACATTGTTACATGAAAATATCAATGATAGGTCACATTTGTTAATGTATGATATAATTCCTAAATTGTATCATAGATATATTCGTCAAAATCTAGCAGGTATTACAGAAGTAGATGTTGAAATACAATCATTAAAAAATGAACTGGAAGAAGCTAAAGCCAAGATCACAGATTTAAAGGCAAAGTTGGTGAAATATGAAGCAGATGAAGGAGCAGAATAATCGAAGCCAGAAGTTTGACACTATAATAGAATACTAGTCCCTGCTGGACACTGACTTTCACAGGAAGTCAGACCGACTATGTGCCTTAAAATAGATATAGCAAATCACTTTCTAAGACAATTTAAAACATAAAATTAAGTTTCATTCTTACAAATTCCATTAGTTATAAGTCTATTTCTTATCCATGTTCACAAAAAGTATAAATAATACTTTTTATATTTGATTTTTAACAAAATTAATCATGTTTACAAATATAGAATATAGTTTGTAATCAAAGTATAAAAGCAGGACGATAAATTAGAAAGTAAAGCTCAAATCAAATTTTGGTTTATGTGATATTTCTGATATTAACCAATGTAATGTATTATTTTGTTTTTTGTACAAGTTGTGTATTTGATTTTTGCAAAAATATCAAAATATAAGTCAGTTAAGTTTATTGTAATAAATGTGGTAATAAATCTTACTATAAGTATATAAAAACACCATATTAAGTTAAAATTCAGATGTATTTGTGGCAATATACATAAATATTGGTGTATCTAGCTTATAACCTAAATAATATTTTGAGTCCGTTATTTCATTGACAGTTTCTGATAATACTTTTTATTCACAGGCTGCTTCACATTTCTTAGTATAAGTAACCTTAAAAAAAAAAAAAAAAAAAAAAAGAAAAAAAGAAAAGAAAAAAGAGAAAAAATAGGAATATTACATATCATTAAAATTATACAATGAATAATAACACGTATAAATTTATTCAGTATTTATTCCATCTTTATAATTACCCTTCGATTTTTAGGCATTCATTGCATGCAAATTAAATTTTGATAAAAAAATAGCCTTTATGTTGCTGTAGTAGCTACTCTGCGTTTTACTTCCCAATTATAAATACGTGCCATATTAACTTCTGTTGTAGTAAATTGATCTCTCACAAAGTCTAAATCGTGTTCCACATAACCTAGGTTTCTTTTTGCTGCTTCAATATTCTTTGTTAACATTTCTTGTGCATCATCCAAAGTGTATTCTAGCATAATATTGGCTCCCAACCACAGGCACACTTTATCAGTCGGAGGAATAATAGCCTTTGCATAAACTTGTTCTGATAAGAGAAACTGTGTTTCTAGGTCTTTGCTTTCATTTTTTTCTTGTTGTAATTTTTTAATCATTTCTAATGATCTTTCTAGATCTGGAATTTGTGTTTTCAGACGTCTTCTTTTATTAAATAAGTTATATTCCATAAATTTATATTTGCCATGGTTCTCATCCAACATTTTAAGTACTTTATCGACTGATTCATTTTCGGGCCTTGCCATAAAAGCGTCGACATCGTCCTATGTTTAAAAAATTTCATATGAAATAAAAATACATTTATTTTGTTGTAAATTTTAATATGGTGTTTCTTTTGTGACCATATACGGTTAGCATAACGAAAAAATGTATCTTATACTATACTTTCGTAAATTATGCTAATAAATAAAAGTCTATTATAAAAATATAAAAGTTACAGAAAAGAATTATATTTTTTTTTTCAAATTTCACTGGATTTATTGTACAAAAAAACATTGATAGCCATGAGGATTTCCTCTTTGTAAAAATATTCATCATAATGCGATATAATATAAATGTATACAATTTATGCATCAATAGCAATCTTATAATAACACATAGTGAAAATTTTTAGTTACAATCATATACTTACTACAAATTCAGCCTCCGGTATTCCAGCATATGACTTTTTCTCTTTATCCGGTCCAACGTTCGCTTTATTTTCACCGTCTTCCATTTTGAATTACGACCAGTTTAATGAAATGCGACCGGTTTACATGATCATTTGTACTATATTAAAAACTTTTATTTTACATACAAATGAAATGAATATATAATCTTATAATATTTTATATAATATATTTCGAGCAAAAGTCTATTTAAAAACAAAAGTTAAATGTAGTCTTGTAAAACATATATACGAATATGCGTCTCGTTTGTATTAAAACCCAAGAGGTGGCGTGCTCTAGTGGTACATTAAGGTATTACGGGATACTATCTGTGTATTACTTATTCTATGTGTAATATGTGTAATAGGCACACGAAACAAAATCTTTGAAGAAGAAAACTCATAAGAAGAGTGGAAGTCCTTCGAGTCATCGATTTAATTGAAACTTTGCAGGTTTGTAGATTTCGTCATGCAGTTCAAGAAAATATATCATTATAGGTGCAACTACTCCACAGTTTTTAAAATATTTATGATTAAAGTTTTATTACTTACTTTTCAAGTGGCGTGGCTTAAAGACGTCATTCGAGAATCCCTATGTTGGAGGCCCAGGGGTTCGATTCTCGTCTAGAGTTGATATTTTTTTTTTCAATCTATATTTTATTTTGTATACATTTTTCACCCATGAAAACATCGTAAATTAACAATTGTAAATAAAATTTCTTAATAAAAAAATTTATTTTTTACGCTTTCTTATGCTAGTATATATTTATTAGAAAATAATAAGAATATTATACAAGAAAAACACTTTTCTATAGCAATCTTATTTACTGCAATATAATGAAATAATTAATAATTCCAGTTCATGAATTAATTATAGAAATTTGGAATTTTTCGCAACTGAAATATATTTATAATTGCTTCATTGATATTATTAAATATAAGAGACGTCGTTTGATATTGTACGTCGATACTTTATCATATAGCTATTTCAAAGATGCAACATTTTCCCGCTAAAAAAATACCTAGCATATCCGGCTACAACCAACTTCCAGTTGGCGGCAAGCGGGCATAGCGGTAACAAATGATGGAATATTCTCACGCGTCAAACTGAAACATTAAATCTTCAAACGTTTCGTGAAGTAGTGATATTGCTGATTGATGTTATAATTATTTTACGAAGTTCAAGATTACTAACTGTGAACATTTCTTCGGTGGTAATATACTATATGTGAAAAAAAGGATCTTGCATAGTACAAATCGTATAACTTGTTTGATATTGTACGTCGATACTTTATCATATAGCTATTTCAAAGATGCAACATTTTCCCGCTAAAAAAATACCTAGCATATCCGGCTACAACCAACTTCCAGTTGGCGGCAAGCGGGCATAGCGGTAACAAATGATGGAATATTCTCACGCGTCAAACTGAAACATTAAATCTTCAAACGTTTCGTGAAGTAGTGATATTGCTGATTGATGTTATAATTATTTTACGAAGTTCAAGATTACTAACTGTGAACATTTCTTCGGTGGTAATATACTATATGTGAAAAAAAGGATCTTGCATAGTACAAATCGTATAACGATACATGTGGAAAATAAAGTGGTGTGAGTGAGGGATCCTATAATACTACCGCATTGTCCGTTACAATCCCCTGTAGAAGATTCTAGATTTCGACTGATCATTGAAATATTTGATCAACATTACTCTGAATAGGCAGTTTTTAAATAGTTTTCCAATTTTTTCTCGATCTTGACGTTCCATTGCAACATAAATATGGATTATCTCTTTTCATTCTAAATTTTAATTGTGGATTAGAATATTTCGTTACTACTGTCTAGAATAGGCTGTTTCCCACCAGTAGGGCAATTATATTACGATTGAAAGTGCATATCTGAAACAAAGTAACGGAAAAACAAGTGCCTGAGAAAACGTTCTACACAATATACTTTATTCTCCTATATTTCTGAAATTAGGCATTTCGCTTAGATTTCTGCGGCATAACAGCGTAAAGTAATTTCTTTCTTAACGGGATTGGATATTTTTTTTCCGTTTCGAGCATGCCTTTTCGAGAAATAGTGCCGGAAGTGTCAGTGGCCCTCAGATCGTGCTGTGCAATTTACTTTTTTGGCTTCTAGTTTTTGAATTAGGCTTTTTCAATCGGATTTTTCCATTGATTCGGGTAGAGTGATTTTTTCCTTAACGGGATTGGATATTTTTTTTCGGTTTCGAGCGTGAGTTTTCGAGAAATAGTGCCGGAAGTGTAAGTGGCCCTTAGATCGTGTTGCGCAATTTACTTTTTTGGCTTCTAGTTTTTGAATTAAGCTTTTTCAGTCGGATTTTTCCATTGATTCGCGTAGAGTGATTTTTTCCTTAACGGGATTGGATATTTTTTTTCGGTTTCGAGCGTGCCTTTTCGAGAAATAGTGCCGGAAGTGTCAGTGGCCCCCAGATCGTGCTGCGCAATTTACTTTTTTGTGTTCTAGTTTTTGAATTAGGCTTTGTCAATGGGCTTTTTCCATTGATTCGCGTAGAGTGATTTTTTCCTTAACGGGATTGGATATTTTTTTTCGGTTTCGAGCGTGCCTTTTCGAGAAATAGTGCCGGAAGTGTCAGTGGCCCCCAGATCGTGCTGCGCAATTTACTTTTTTGTGTTCTAGTTTTTGAATTAGGCTTTGTCAATGGGCTTTTTCCATTGATTCGCGTAGAGTGATTTTTTCCTTAACGGGATTGGATATTTTTTTTCGGTTTCGAGCGTGCCTTTTCGAGAAATAGTGCCGGAAGTGTCAGTGGCCCCCAGATCGTGCTGCGCAATTTACTTTTTTGTGTTCTAGTTTTTGAATTAGGCTTTGTCAATGGGCTTTTTCCATTGATTCGCGTAGAGTGATTTTTTCCTTAACGGGATTGGATATTTTTTTTCGGTTTCGAGCGTGCCTTTTCGAGAAATAGTGCCGGAAGTGTCAGTGGCCCCCAGATCGTGCTGCGCAATTTACTTTTTTGTGTTCTAGTTTTTGAATTAGGCTTTGTCAATGGGCTTTTTCCATTGATTCGCGTAGAGTGATTTTTTCCTTAACGGGATTGGATATTTTTTTTCGGTTTCGAGCGTGCCTTTTCGAGAAATAGTGCCGGAAGTGTCAGTGGCCCCCAGATCGTGCTGCGCAATTTACTTTTTTGTGTTCTAGTTTTTGAATTAGGCTTTGTCAATGGGCTTTTTCCATTGATTCGCGTAGAGTGATTTTTTCCTTAACGGGATTGGATATTTTTTTTCGGTTTCGAGCGTGCCTTTTCGAGAAATAGTGCCGGAAGTGTCAGTGGCCCCCAGATCGTGCTGCGCAATTTACTTTTTTGTGTTCTAGTTTTTGAATTAGGCTTTGTCAATGGGCTTTTTCCATTGATTCGCGTAGAGTGATTTTTTCCTTAACGGGATTGGATATTTTTTTTCGGTTTCGAGCGTGCCTTTTCGAGAAATAGTGCCGGAAGTGTCAGTGGCCCCCAGATCGTGCTGCGCAATTTACTTTTTTGTGTTCTAGTTTTTGAATTAGGCTTTGTCAATGGGCTTTTTCCATTGATTCGCGTAGAGTGATTTTTTCCTTAACGGGATTGGATATTTTTTTTCGGTTTCGAGCGTGCCTTTTCGAGAAATAGTGCCGGAAGTGTCAGTGGCCCCCAGATCGTGCTGCGCAATTTACTTTTTTGTGTTCTAGTTTTTGAATTAGGCTTTGTCAATGGGCTTTTTCCATTGATTCGCGTAGAGTGATTTTTTCCTTAACGGGATTGGATATTTTTTTTCGGTTTCGAGCGTGCCTTTTCGAGAAATAGTGCCGGAAGTGTCAGTGGCCCCCAGATCGTGCTGCGCAATTTACTTTTTTGTGTTCTAGTTTTTGAATTAGGCTTTGTCAATGGGCTTTTTCCATTGATTCGCGTAGAGTGATTTTTTCCTTAACGGGATTGGATATTTTTTTTCGGTTTCGAGCGTGCCTTTTCGAGAAATAGTGCCGGAAGTGTCAGTGGCCCCCAGATCGTGCTGCGCAATTTACTTTTTTGTGTTCTAGTTTTTGAATTAGGCTTTGTCAATGGGCTTTTTCCATTGATTCGCGTAGAGTGATTTTTTCCTTAACGGGATTGGATATTTTTTTTCGGTTTCGAGCGTGCCTTTTCGAGAAATAGTGCCGGAAGTGTCAGTGGCCCCCAGATCGTGCTGCGCAATTTACTTTTTTGTGTTCTAGTTTTTGAATTAGGCTTTGTCAATGGGCTTTTTCCATTGATTCGCGTAGAGTGATTTTTTCCTTAACGGGATTGGATATTTTTTTTCGGTTTCGAGCGTGCCTTTTCGAGAAATAGTGCCGGAAGTGTCAGTGGCCCCCAGATCGTGCTGCGCAATTTACTTTTTTGTGTTCTAGTTTTTGAATTAGGCTTTGTCAATGGGCTTTTTCCATTGATTCGCGTAGAGTGATTTTTTCCTTAACGGGATTGGATATTTTTTTTCGGTTTCGAGCGTGCCTTTTCGAGAAATAGTGCCGGAAGTGTCAGTGGCCCCCAGATCGTGCTGCGCAATTTACTTTTTTGTGTTCTAGTTTTTGAATTAGGCTTTGTCAATGGGCTTTTTCCATTGATTCGCGTAGAGTGATTTTTTCCTTAACGGGATTGGATATTTTTTTTCGGTTTCGAGCGTGCCTTTTCGAGAAATAGTGCCGGAAGTGTCAGTGGCCCCCAGATCGTGCTGCGCAATTTACTTTTTTGTGTTCTAGTTTTTGAATTAGGCTTTGTCAATGGGCTTTTTCCATTGATTCGCGTAGAGTGATTTTTTCCTTAACGGGATTGGATATTTTTTTTCGGTTTCGAGCGTGCCTTTTCGAGAAATAGTGCCGGAAGTGTCAGTGGCCCCCAGATCGTGCTGCGCAATTTACTTTTTTGTGTTCTAGTTTTTGAATTAGGCTTTGTCAATGGGCTTTTTCCATTGATTCGCGTAGAGTGATTTTTTCCTTAACGGGATTGGATATTTTTTTTCGGTTTCGAGCGTGCCTTTTCGAGAAATAGTGCCGGAAGTGTCAGTGGCCCCCAGATCGTGCTGCGCAATTTACTTTTTTGTGTTCTAGTTTTTGAATTAGGCTTTGTCAATGGGCTTTTTCCATTGATTCGCGTAGAGTGATTTTTTCCTTAACGGGAT